TCAACAGAAACTAGCACACGCTGTAGGGGGTCGGGGGGAAGGGGCCCGGGGGCAGGGAGAACCTAGGCGAGCCTTAGGGAGGTCTCACTTCCTCAGCGCGTGGTGTGCGGTCCACCCGCGTTTATGGGTGCGGCGGTGGTCTTGCAGCACTTACAGATCGCCGGGCCTCGGCGTAGACCCGCAGGACCTAGATTCTAAGAGGAGTGGGCCTGCAACCTCAGTCCCGCCCCCCAGGTACTTGTCAACCAAAGTGGGCGCCGCCTACGCCTGGGGTTCGCGGGGCGGCCCGGCTCGAGGGGCGTCCCGGGGTCACCTTGAGCCGGTTCAGCTGGTCGTGCAGGGCCGCCTTCAACCGGAGCAGCGTCTCCTCCTCCTTGCGCAGCTCCTGGAGCCGGCTCAGCATGGCGCCTCCTCCCGCCGGCCGACAGGCCCGGCGCCCGGTAATGACGTCTGGCGCCCTCGTTCCCGGAAACCAAACAGCAGGTTGGGCGGGGCTCGCAGCACGCGGGCAGCGACGCTTCCGGCCCGTCTCTGAACTCTCGCTGGCTCCTCAACGGGAGCGTGCTTTTCCTAGGAGAGACCCCTTTTTTCTTTCCTTTTATTATATATATATTAATATTTATTTATTCTGAGATAGAGCGAGCAAGCAAGGTAGAGGCAGAGAGAGAAAAGAACCCCAGGCAGGCTCCGTGTGGGGCTGGAACCCACAAACTGTGAGTTGACGACCTGAGTTGAAACCAAGAGACGCTCCACCGACTTGAGCCACCCAGGCGTCCCCCTGCATCGCACTTTCAATGTGCTGCAGCAAGTGGCTATTTTGGCGCCACAAGACCTGCGGACGTATTTGAGGGCAGAGACCAAAACCACAGTATCTAGCACACAGGTGCACAAGCCCTGTTATTTTTGCAGGCAAGGATTCCTCCTCATGTCAAAGTGGTTCCTAGGAGGGTGTGCAAATTGGAACAGGAAGATAAAGCAGGGCTATCATTCTATTGGGACGTGGTGCCTTTGTATGCTAAGGGCTAGATTGCCCTGAATCTGCCAAGTGTAAGATCCATCACCTTGATGTGGAATTTGAAGTAGGTTGCCAATGGAGACAAACCTGTTGCAAAACAAGATCCCGACAAGAGACAAAAATAGGACAATTTAACTCTTAAGGTGGGAAGTCATGCTGGGACAGAACAGGGTAAGGAAAACAAACCGACGTTCTTTGGCGCAGACTTCTCTGCGTTTTTTTTTTTTTTTTTTTTTTTTTTTTTAGAGCAGAGCATGTGAGCAGGAAAGGGGCAGAGTTAAAAAAAAACGCTAAGCAGGGTGCAAGCTCAGCGTGGAACACAACACAGGGCTTCATTCCGCGACCCTGGGATCATGACCGCAGCTTGAAACAAGCCAGATGCTCTGGGTTTTAAAAGGATGGGACTTTGGCTCTGGCCATGAACTCATGCTTCAGGAGTTGGGAGCGCCATACAAGGTTCTGCATTGACAGTGCAGAACCTGCATGGGTTTTTTTTTTTTTTTTACTTATTTTTGATAGAGACGGAGACACAGAATACGAAGCAGGCTCCAGGCTCCGAGCTGTCAGCACAGAGCCCGATGTAGGGCGCGAACCCACAAACCGCATAACCATAACCTGAGTCAAGTCAGACGCTTAACCGAGCCACCCAGGTGCTCCTCTGTGCTATACTTCAATGTATTCATCCCTTAGTAAAACTCCAAGTATCAAGTAGTTCTGAAAAACGCTTTGGACACCTTCATAACGTAGGTCAATTTATTGAGGGTAGCATCTCTTGCAATAACTATACTCTATTGCAGAAGGTTCTAACAGGAACCTTTGGAGGAACCATCAATTTCTTAATGCAGTACCCCTAAATGTATATGTTCTGCCCTCTTGTGGTACTGTAAAAGCCAAACCTTTATGGAATTTTACCTATTTTTGAAAGTGTAGTGTTTTTTTTTTTTTGAGGAAGGATTGCTAAATCCTAATAGCTTCATATCTGAGACCAGTCTTTTAGCCATCTGCTTGTTATCTACAAACTGGATTTTACACGTGGATTTATGCAGTGTTCTTGTTTCCATTCACCTGCATGGATTTACAATGCAAAGTCCAGTTTTATACCAGACCAAAAAAAAAAAAAATGGAAGCAAAAGACAGGAATTATGGGCAACAAAATAAAATTCTAACCAAGATTCACAAACACATCCAACAAGTCAGGTTTCTCACGGTCTTTGATTAGGACTTTATTCATAATTAGCTGTCCAAAATGATTTAACTTTTATGGAATAAACAAATGTAAGTTTTATGCAGGTTTCTTTTCTTCCGTGGTGGGTTTCTTCTCTGCAGGCTTCTTCTCAGCTACGGGTTTCTTGGTCGTTGCAGGCTTTTTTCCTGCCAAGGGTTTTTTCTGCTTCTTAACACCAACAGCCTTCTTTCCTTTCTTCCCTACCACAGGCTTCTTGCCTGGAACGCCCTTCTCCTCGGATTTGGCTTCTAAGGCTGCTGCGGCCTTATCCATCCGGAGTTTGTGCTGCAACAAATTAAGAAGAAAACCTAAGAATCAAACCTTTCTAAAAACTTAACGTATCAGCAAAAACCAAATTATCACTTACATTCTTGGCCTGGCGAAGAATGGTGTTCCGGCGCATTGTCTTTGCATATGGGTTCAGCTTCAACATGATTCTCAGGTTTTTCAGTGGATTCTTCTTGAGGACTCTGCGATGAATCTTCTTGCTGTAGAAAAGTAGACATTACAATATTAACAACTTAGTTCACATTATTCATGTTTCTCAAATAACTAATGGTAAGAGATTGGAATGAGATTAAGCATCACAAGTTTACCGTGGTGCTCGGAGGGCTCTCTGGATCTCAGGGCTCTTCAAGATTCTGCTAAGGTCTGTATTAAGCATCTTATGCATGGGAAGGCTGAGGAAAAAAAATGCTGACAATAAGATGCTCAATTCCCAATTCTCACTAACAATCGAAGCTCTCCTGAGTTAATTTCAACTATGCTATCAACTTCTCAGAGTGTCTCACCATTTTGGCATATCCTATCTGTACATGAGGGCACATGGCAAAACCACATTCGTTATTCACAAAACATGCAAACCAATAGCAAATATAAGTATCTGCAGCATAAACACCCGTGTATGATACATGAAGGCCAACAATACTCACTTGTAGTTACTCTTGAGGGAGGCAGCCTTACGCCAAGTGCCATACAGATCATCCAACTTGCGGAAAGCACTTTCAGTCCAGATGCAGAAACGTCCCACATGCCCACCAGGAGCAAGTTTCAAAATGTTCAGTTTGCTTACGTTAAGCAAAGTAATTCCTTTTAAAGGAAAAAGAAAATTAGGGAGTCTGTATCTCAACACAAAAACACAAATCTTCTGCACTACTTTCGTGCTATGTAAGGTACCTGAGAGCTATGTTACTAATCAGGCAGTTCCAACCTTCACTGGTGTACTCATTCAGCTGACAATCAGAAGTTCCATCAAATCATGTGTTTCAGAAACACGGACCATACAGTGGAATCTCATCATAGTAAAAGCTGAGTAAACTTGCATAGTATGGACAAGCAAAACATGCGTAAGCAGTACAATTACCGGGGATGTTTCTGAAGGCCTTGATGATACCATTGTCCTCATTATAGATGATGCAGGGTCCCCTGCGCTGGATACGACGACGGTTTCTCATTTTGCCCTTGCCAGCTCTCATTCGTTGAGAGGCATAGACCTAAAAAGCGAGAACATTTATTACTCTCATTAAAATATGACCTTAGTAATTCATCTTCAAACGTGATTTCAAGAAATCAGTCTCCACTGTAAAGAAAGGAGCCATGATGAATTGCCCAACATTCACACGCAACTATAAATGCCAGGCAAGATTCATACCTAAGTTTTATAAGGTTTTAAGAGTCCTCGTTCTCATAGCCCCTCAAGTTACACTATCCTCCAGTCATCTTTTGACATTTAAAATCTGATGAAGTTAAGGACCACCAAACGGGAAATTTGTTCATTAAACCTACCTTTTTGATATCATTCCAGGCTTTAAGTTTCTTAAGAAGCAAAACAGCCTCCTTGGTCTTCTTGTAGCCTTCAACTTTATCTTCAACCACCAAAGGAAGTTCCGGAACTTCCTCAATACGATGACCTGACAAAGCCAATTAACAAAAACCTAGTTACCCCGAACCTTTTGAAAAATCGAGAAACATTTCATATAATCCACAAAAAAAGGGAATACGATGTGCCAAGTCAGAATTTCCACAAATATCATGTGTTTCAGAAACACGGACCAATTAAGTGGAATCTCATCATTTTGACAGTTACAGAGTAGGAACGTGACGAACTGAGTGGAAAAGTTTGCCAATATATGAAATCCCTGTATTTCTATTAGTTTCCCAGTTACACAGTCTTCACTGATGACTTACTATTGACCTAAGTGGTCAGAACTATTATTTAGAAGAGGGAAATCTAGTCAGGCACTCTGGGATGAACAGAATTCAAACAGATCATTAACATGATTGAAATGGTTGGGGGGGGGGGGGGAAGGGTACTTTGTACCAGTCCTATAAAACAAAATCTACAAACCTTTAGACATGACCAGCGCTGGTAAGGCTGAGGCAGCCAGGGCAGAGCAGATGGCATATCGCTTCTGTGTTGTGTTCACTCTGCGGTGCCAACGGCGCCAAGTTTTCGTTGGTGCGAACATGCGGCCCCCACGACACATCTATTTTCCCAGTTAAGAATCTCATTTCTCAAAATTTTGGCAATTAAAAAAAAAGATCATGTCTTGCTCAGTAAGAATTTTCGTCACCCTTCTGAACCAGCTTACTGACAGCAGGCAACTGTCGCCGAGAACAGAGTAAGACGCAAATTACGGCATCATTGCAAGCAAAATTTCCTAATGCCAAGCCCCTGTCTGCCTAGAGCAATATTTAACCTGGACACTATTAGTATGTTTGAAATATTTTCAACTATGTACAAGCCAGGTTCAATTCGATAAATTCCCGAAGAGCTGACCCATCTACATAGTGGAACAAAGGATACATTTCCAAAAGCACCCTGGCCAGAACGGTGAGTCCCACCACCTCGAACTCTGGGAATTCGAGCCACGGCTCTGCCAGTACCCCAAGACTCAGCACTGGTTTGATGACCTGAAATTAGGAAGAAATACAAGTTTTAGCTACCCAATCATACTAATATAGGACTATTATGCATGGTAGCAACAGCATCAGAACATCCAGGAAAATCATGTGCTTCAGAAACACGGACCAATGGAGTGTTATTTCATCACTGCTGTTAAGCAGATCTTGAAACATCAATCTTCGAAAAATCCATACCTGCTAATTCACTGACAGCATATGGCTGTCTATTGTTTTTGCGCAAGTTGGTATGAACAAAGTTCACGATATCCGGTCGAATGGGAGCCTTGAATACAGCAGGCAGAGTAACATTTTTGCCAGATGACTCCCCCTTTTCGGAGTACACGGATATCAACGGACGAGCACACGCCTGGGAAAAAGGAAAAGATACTCATATTGACAAAGCCAAAGGCACTATGGTCATGCATCAACAATACCATTAAAACCTCAATTACAGGAGGCTCGAATTTGGGGAGGTAGACAACACTCAGAGCTGAAACAGAGGCTATTACCAACACATTACGTTTATTAACTTCAAAACATTCTTACACTGTAACATTTAGAATCTCAAGTTCAAGCACAAAATTGATCATTAAGCTTTCAAACCAGGCCTTACACGAAAAAAACGATTCAAGGCATACTGTGAGATTCGAAAATTCTATTTAATACTACCATCTAGATAAACTCTTCAACCCCAAATGTCAGCACATCTTGTCTCCTACAGTTCTCCTTCCAATTTCTGCCCTTGGCCCCCTTCATCTCAAACACGTATCACACAACTTACCAGTACAAATACTGGCCATGTTTCTTTTTGCTCAACCTTCTCCAAAGGCTTACACCTGAAAGCAAAACTAAATTTCTGAGGATAGCCTACAGAACCTGTTGATTTCATCTCCCACACTTTTCCAGATGCTACTGTCTGTACCTACACCCAGGGGCATACCCCTTCTCCCTCAGAGGTAAGTCTTCCTCTTAAAAACAATCTGCACGCTTCCTCACCCTCCTTCAGACCACCTTCTCTGACATTTCTCTTATTACTTTAAAGCCCAACTACTGCCTCGTCTTCCATTCCCTATGTCCACAACACTACCATCGAACATTCTAGTGCTATTTTGTCCAAATTATCATCCAAGCATCACAAGTATAGGGTCTTTTTTCCCCACTGAACTATACCTGGCTAAAAAAATTCATAGGTTTAGAGAACACCAAATAGAGCAACTTTTAAGTTAAGGAGATGACGAAGTTTTTGTAGAGGCACGTGTTAAGATGAACACACAGGAGTATTCAGAAAAATGTGGATATGCGGGTCTTTAATAAAATCTGCCTCGGCAAAAATGAAAATGTTCCTTCCTGAACACCTGAAAATACAAAGCCCAAAACTGATTATGGCCCCGATTCAGTCTTAGGCCCCAAGAGCTTCCCTATTTACCGCAGAACTCACGCCTTCTACGATGCAAGGAAACTAAAATCCCAAAGATTCCTCCGCACCTGAGAGCGACCGTGTCGCCCATTGCTGGGACGCCCACGTTGCCTCTAAAATGGCTGCCGTAAATTAGCCGCACTACCCAGCTCCAACCCACAAACAGATGATGCCTCCATCCCCTTTATCCTCGCTTTCTCCCCTACAGTTCTTGGGTCCTAAACCCCTAATACATTTCTGCCGGGACCGGAGCGCAAGAAAGAGTTCGCCAGGATGGACCTCCACTCACCATCGCGGGGAGAGGAAAGGGACACGCTCCCCTCAACCCGGCGGCTCCTATAGGAAAAGGAAGTGCCTAGCACTTCCGCTCTATTTGTAGCCTTCAACTCGTCCGCCAACCTTCCCCGCCTCAGAACCAATCCAGAGACATAAAATCTCTCTCTACCACTCTATAAAAATAACAAATAGCGTCTTATTTTTTCACATGCATCAAATTATGGTATCTACCCACTTTCAAAGCCAACAATATCGCTTAGAAATAAGGGACTCCTTTCCGCGGAATAATCCATAAAGAGGCGTGGCAACTCTCGCGAGACGAAGTGTCTTTTTCCCTCTCAGCCGCTGCAATTTATTTTAACTTTTTCTTACAGGAATGGAAAATTGTTGGCAGAGGAAAAACTGCGGTGTGCTCTAAAACAAAAGATTAACTTGGTGGACAAACGGGGCCTGTCGGGAGTGGGTGGGGTGTAAAAGTAGTCCCGGCGATGGGGTCGTGACCCAGGACGTCAGCGCCCGGCGCGCAGTTCAGTTTGGCGGTTACGGATCTGCAGTCGAATTGGGGCATGATGTGGTCCCGAATGAACCGAGCCGCTGAGGAGTTTTACTCTCGTCTCCTGCGGTGAGTTGTAGCCTTTGCTGTTGCCTTGGGTGCGAGGACAGCACTTGTCCCTGGGCGTCGTTTTCGACTCCGCCCCAATCCTCTTGCCCCTGCTTTAGGATAAGCGCTCTGTCGCTTCTCAGTGGCGCCTACGTTACAGACTAAGGCAGCTTTCCTGGGGTCTTGGAGTTGGGGAATGGCCGGTTGGTTATCTGTTCGAGTGTGGGGTTGACCCTGTGGGGGCTTGTTTGTAGTCTCGTATAGGCGAAAACAAGTGTACGTTATCAATGGAGGTGGAAGGTGACAAGTTTTTCAAGAGGCCCTTTATTCGTTCTAATAATGCACAGAACTTAGGGTATGTTAGAGGCACTTCTCAGAATACGGAAAACTAGATGTTGGCATCCTTCATCGGTTTAAAGCCTTTCTGGTGTGAAATGTATTTGTTTCGGTTCGTTACATGAGCTACAGTTACAATAACGTAATAGTGTGTTTTTGTTACATACCGTTATTTCACTGTGCTCTGAGACTTTATTATAGTGAATTGCTAGTACAAAAGGAGAGTCCATCTAGTTCTGCATCCAACTTTAAAGTCGAATCCGTAGTTCTCAAACTTGAACTTGCTTCAGAATCACCTGGAGATTTGTCAAAACACAGATGGCTGGGCCCCACCTCCAGGGTTTCTGATTTAGTAAATCTGGGTGGCGCCAAAGAATTTTCCTTTCTATCAAATGCCGGGTGAAACATGCTGCTGGCCTGACACCACAACTTTGAGAACCAGTGATGTAATCTAACCTCCTATTTTCTAAATGCCATACTTTTTCATTATTCTGTAAAAAAAAATTTGGCTTTTAAAAAAAAAGTTTATTTATGTATGTATTTATTTTGAGAGTGAGAGAGAGCGAGTGAAGGGCAGAGAGAGGAGGAGAGAGAATCCCAAGCAGACTCTGCACCATCAGCACAGAGCCTGATGCTGGGCTGTATCTCACAAACCTTGAGATACGAACTTGACTTGACATGACTTGAGCTGAAACCAAGAGTTGGACACTCAACCAACTGAGCCACCCAGGCGCTCCTCATTATTTATCTTTATTGCTTTTCTTTTTCTTGCAAAAGTAGTAATGCTTGCCAATTTTTTGAACATTATAGAAAGAGCTCTAGGCTTTTTTTTTTTAACTAATAATGTCTTGAATGGCTTCCAGTATGACACCCTATAGATCTAGCTCATTGTTTTTAACTGCTGTATAATATTTCATTCTGTGCCTGTGTAATGCTTATTTAACCAGTCCCCCATTGATACTGTTTTATTTAGACCCTTTATAGTTCCCAATTATTTCATGGATGTTAGTCTTTTTTTCTACTTGTAAGCACAATGCCTCTGTATCCAGTTGCCTACTGGAAATTTCCATGAGAACCTCAAACTCCATATTTGCAAAACTGAATTCATCTTTTCCCCACAACCTGACTTTTTTGCTCCTGAATTCTTGAATTAATTAATTCTTGAATTAAGCCTATGAATTAAGAGCTCCTCAGATCCAAGATCGTCACTTCTCTTTTCCACCACCCTCCACCCCCATCCTGTCTAGTCAGTCACTTGGAGCACTTTGCCCTCCATCTCTATTGCTTCTGTTCAGGCCATCGTCACTTCTTATTCGCAGCTGTTTTCCTGGCCTCCTTTATACCCTCCATCTCATGGTCAGAAAGGTGTTTCCCATTTACAATCTTGTAGTGAGTCCCTCTTGGCTTTCAGGATAAAGTTCTAGTGTTAGCAAAATGTCTTCCATTGTGCTACCACAGCACCCTGCATTCACCTCTGTCGGAGCACCCAGCACCCTGTGTTGTAACTGTTGGTTTACTCTTTAGACTTCAGTCAAGAGTATGAACCAGGGACTATGTTTTTGTTTTGTATCCTGGACATCTAAGAAGAGTTCTTGCCTATGGTATACATGATTGTTGAATAATCAAATAACATCTCTCAGTGATACATAAAAGACAAAATATCTTTAAGAATAAATCAAAATCTCGTCCAAAATGGCAAAAGCCAATCATTCACAGGGCTAGTTCTCCTGTTTTTATTTCAGTAAGAGTAGATCAAATAATAAATGGTATCCTGAAACAATTCCGATGGGTTCTTGTAGGACTCCAAAGATTTATTCTCTTTTGGAGTATAGATCAGACTGATATACGTTTTGGTATATTTAATGGTTTATAGTTAACATGCTTGGGGATGACTATTTTAAAACTTTCTTGAACGAAACCATAATTATTAAATGATATCTGAGAGTTTTGTGTTTACATTTTTATAGGGAATTGTTTAATATGAAATTTACTAAGTTTTTAGTGACAGCTCATAAAGAGAGGGAGAATAGATGTTTATGTTTTAGCCATAGAAATCTAGGGCTGGGAACCTTAAGTAACTTTTCTGTGGTTACCCACTGATTCAGTGGCAGATCAGAATCCAGTGATGTTTTTTACTTCTTAAGTCAGGCTGTAAATTACATTTTAATAGTAACTGAATATGTGTTTCAGAAGATAGGAGAGTAGAGCTGGGTAACCTGATCCTGCTGCCTCTGAGAAGGAGTTGTGAATAGTAGTCTTATTAATCTCTACCACATTTCCTTTTTCTATTCCTAACTTATATTCTTTTTCTGCTTTTTTCTGTCTTCCCAATCATGCATTAAGGCTGGTTTGTGTTTACTTTCCTCACTGGTGCCATGCAGAGATAAAGTGATGACAAACTTCTGAATTTAAATGTCAGAATACTGTAGCTCTATTTTTCACATGTGGTTCTGCATTTCAGGGAGTTTGATGAAGAAAAGAAAGGAATCCATAAAGACCCATTTATCTATGAGGTATGAACAATTTATTTGGTCTTTAAACACAACTCATTAATCCTAACATTCTGTTTTCAAAAGTTGGGTTCATTGAAGGGAGTTTAGAGTAAATTCCACCCTCTTAGCGTACAGTTAGTTCTATGAGTTTTTACAAATGCATTCAGTCATATGGCCACCGACATAATATCTAGAATATTTCTGTCACCTCCAAAAATCTCATGTCCCTTTGTTGTCAGCCCTTTGTCTCTGGCCTTTTCCAGAGTGTCATATAAATAAGATCATACGGGGCGCCTGGGTGGCTTGGTCGGTTAAGCGTCCGACTTCGGCTCAGGTCATGATCTCACGGTCCGTGGGTTTGAGCCCCACGTTGGGCTCTGTGCTGACAGCTCAGAGCCTGGAATCTGTTTCAGATTCTGTGTCTCCCTCTCTCTCTGCCCCTCCCCTGTTCATGCTATGTCTGTCTCTGTCTCAAAAATAAATAAAGGTTAAAAAAAAAAATTAAAAAAAAATAAGATCATACACTATGTAGTCTTTTTTTTTTTTTTTTTTTTTTTTTTTTTTTTTTTTTTTTTTAGTGCTGTTTAGTTTTTATTTCATGATCATAAACTTTACTCTGCAATCCAGCTAGACTTGGAGGGGAGTAAGGAAAACATGGAGCCCGTAGAACTGCAAGGAGAGCACAAAGATTATAGGAGATTTCGAGCAGATGGAGGTGAGGGGGTCCTCTCCCAAGCTACAAAAACAATGGTCTGGTAGTTAACATAAAACACAAGTGAGATTTATTAGATTCGTCCACAGTCAGCAATGGTGGTCTTCTTGCTGGTCTTGCCATTCCTGGACCCAAAGCGCTCTGTGGCTTCCACAATATTCATTCCCTCCTTCACTTTGCCAAAGACCATGTGCTTGCCATCCAACCGCTCCATCTTGGCAGCACAGATGAAAAGTTGGAAACCATTTGTGTTGGGTCCAACATTTGCCATGGACAAGATGCCAGGACCTATGAGTTTCAGGATGAAATTCTTATCAATTTCTCCCCATAGATGGACTTGCCACTAGTGCCGTCATGGCATGTGAAGTCACCACCCTGGCACGTAAATCCTGGAATAATTCTGTGAAAGCAGGAACCTTTATAACCAAATCCTTTCTCCCCAGTGCTCAGAGCAGCAAAGTTTTCTGCCATTTTTGAAACTTTGCAAACAGCTGGAAGGAGATGCGGTCCAAGGATTCGTTGTCCATGGTGATGTCGAAGAACACGGTGGAGTTGACCATGGCTGGGCAGTGTGGTCAGCCCCGGGGTGGCAGCCTCTGTGAGGCCTATACACTGTGTAGTCTTTTGGGTCTGGTTTCTGTCAGTGAGTGTATGCATTTGAGATTCATCTTTGTTTTGTGTGTATCAGTAGTTCATTCCTTTTTATTGTTAAATACCACCTCACTGAGTGTGTGACAGTTACCCACTTACCAGTTGATAGACACTTGGATTGTTTTTGATAGTTTTTGATAGTTATAAATAAAGCTGCTATAAATATTCATGGATTTATTAAGCATCTAATATATGCCAAGTGTTGCATAGGTGAAGTCCCCATAAAGTTTGATCCGTAAAATAATTAGCGAACTAAAATTAATTGTATGCTAAAAGACAAATAAGCTGGAGATAGTCCTATAAGAAAGGTTAATTACTCATATATATGAAATACATAAAAAACTCATAAAAATCAACAAGAAAAATGACAATCATGACAGAAGAATAGTTAAAGAACAAAAATAAGTAATTCCAGAAAGAAAAATATAAATAGCATTGTTTCTTACTGTTTGAATTTTCATTAACCAAACCCAGGAACTAAGTATATCCAGGTAAATGTATTAATCCCACCTTATCTGAGTTCTTGCTTGATGTGTGTGGTAGTTTCCTAGGGCTGCTGTAACCACAAATTGGTTTGCTTAAAACAGAAATTTATTCTGTTGCAGTTCTGGAGACTACGACTCTGAATTGGAGGTGTCAGAAGGGCCATGCTCCTACTGAAGGCTCCAGGAAAGGATCCTTTCTTGGCTCCTTCTGGTTTCTGTTGGTTTCCAACAGTCCTTGGAGTTTCTTGGCTTCTAGACACATTACTCTGATTTCTGCCTCTGTTAATACATAGTATTCCTGTGTGTGTCTATGTGTCTAAATCTTTCACACCTTACAAGTACATCAGTCATTGGATTTAGGGCCCCCCTAATCCAAATTAATCCTCACCTTGATTACATTTGCAGAAACTTTTTTTTAAATGTTTATTTATTTTTGAGACACACAGACACACACATGCGTGCAGTGTGAGTTGGGGAGGGACAGAAGAGAGGGAGACACAGAATCCAAAGCAGGCTGCAGGCTCTGAGCTGTCAGCACAGAGCTCTACATGGGGCTGGAACCCATGAACTGCGAGATCATGACCTGAGCTAAAGTTGCATGCGTAACCAACTGAGCCACCCAGGTGCCTCATTAAAGACCCTCTTTCTAAAGAAGGTCACATTCAGAGGAACCAAGGGTTAGGACCTCCCCATGTCATTTGGGGTATAGTCAATCCACAATGGGACTTGCAACTCAAGAACCTAGTAGATTAGAATAAACATATCATCCTTTGCTCTTTGAACTTTGTATCTAAATGCTTCAGTATCCAAACTGAGAAATTAAACAGATTCAAATAATGAGACATATTTGTCAATAATAAGCATATGAAATTTTTGCTGTGAGATGATAAAAGTAAACAGTGAAAATACTCTGTTGTGGTAAGCGATTAGAATGCGAATATGTGGGCATGGCATGTTTGCAAGGCAATTTGAAAATATCGGTGTGATTCTGGATACTTAAGAGAGGAATTCAAGGATGTTGATTATTAGCTGTTTATTATAGCACAGAACTTAAAACTATCCAAATGTTGAAGAAAATGGAATTCGTTATATGATGGTAGAGCCAAAGAACGTTTAATGGCACGACAAGAAGCTTATGATTTAGTCTGTTGTATTTTTTTAAGCAAAAGCCTATGTAGATATCTAAATGCTGAATACATTTCTACTTAAGTAGATTAATTTATGTGTCTGCAAAAAGTTCTGGCAAGATATAGGCCAACCAGGCTAATTACAGTGATGATCATTGTAGCTAGTAGAATTATATGTGAGTTTTAAAAAATCTGTTAGCTGTTTTCAGATTTTTCTGCAATAAACATGTTTGCAATAGGAATGGAAAAATAAGTAGTTCCTATAAATTGATAAAAGTACTAAACTCCATAGTACAATCAGAAGAAAAGAGCATATTTAGTAAAGTGCTAATTATATGGGACATGATTGTAAATATAGTATGAGTGGAGGGAAAGAATGTCCAGGTGATCCTAATCAAAGGAAGGCTCGACAAGGCAGGGTGCACTTTAGGTGAGCCTTCAAGCATTTGTAGACGTGAACATAAGAGCTAGATTTATCTAAACATGAAAAAACAACCTGGCAAAGAATAAATGAAATCTTATCTTTAGAGCATTATGTTTTGTTCAAATTTTCTTTTTTAGTCACTTGTCTACAACTGGTCTTTACGTGTTTAAATTATTTGCACTAATATATGTGTGTATATATAACATTGCCTGACAACTTTTTTTAACAGACTGATGTTCAAGGGCAGTTGATCGGCAAAGGCCAACCAAACCCTTTGAAAAATATTCTAAATGAAAATGATATGATATTCATTGTAGAGAAATTGGTAAGTAGTGTTTGGGCTTTGTGCTTGTTTAATTCTTTTTTTTAATCTTATTTTTAATAAATTTATTTAATAGTTTAATTTTTTTTTTAATTTTTTTTTTAACGTTTATTTATTTTTGGGACAGAGAGAGACAGCATGAATGGGGGAGGGGCAGAGAGAGAGGAAGACACAGAATCGGAAGCAGGCTCCAGGCTCTGAGCCATCAGCACAGAGCCTGACACAGGGCTCGAACTCACGGACCGCGAGATCGTGACCTGAGCTGAAGTCGGACGCCTAACCGACTGAGCCACCCAGGCGCCCCAAATTAATTTTATTTTTAATAAGATTAAAAATTCGAGTGGGGCTCAAACTTACAACCCTGAGATCAAGAGTCTCATGCTCCATCAACTGAGCCAGCCAGGAGCCCCTGTGCTTGTTGATAACTAACAGCCAAATTCAGTTTATTGGGAATAATCTCAGATGTGCCCATTTTTTTATCAGCATATTAGTGAAAGCAGATTCTAATTCTTTTAGAAATAGAATTTCTAAATTTCTCCTTTAGAAATACAATGAGAATTGCATAGGTAATTTAAAATTTTGTAGTAGCCTGATTTTTAAACAGTGAAATAGGGCCACCTAAGGGGCTCAGTTGCTTAAGTGTCTGACTTTGGCTCACGTCATGATCCCACAGTTTGTGGTTGGAGCCCCGCATCAGTCTGCTGCTAGCACAGAGACGACCTCAGAGCCTCTGTCCCCCTCTCGCTCTGCTCCTTCCCTGCTGGTTCTATCTCAAAATAAACAAACTAAAAAGAAGTGAAATTATCATATATAGTAAAATTGACCTTTTTTCTTTTTTGTCCACTTCTGTAAGTTTTAGCGCATGTACAGATAGGTTCTGGTAATCACCACCACAATCGGCACAAAATAGTTCCATCACCCTAAACAACTCTCGAGCTAACCCTTTAAAATCCTACTTTTTTCTAATCTCTACCCCCTGGCAACTGCTGATCTCTTTTCCCTTGGTATAGTTTTGTCTTCTGTCATGAATGGAATCATACAGTTTGTAACCTTTTGAGTTTGGCTTCTTTCACTCTGTATGCCTTTGAGGTTAAGTTGTAAGTATATCAGTGGTTCATTTCTTGTAATTGCTGAGTATATTCCATGGCTGTACCCCTGTTTATTTACCGAGTCACCCTTTGAAAGACGTTTGGGCCGTTTTCAGTCCTCAGTGATCATGGGTAGAGCTGCTATAATCATTTTTGTACAGCTTTTTGTGTGAGCATAAGTTTTTTCTTGATACTAAATACTGAGGTGTGGAATTGTCTGAAATTAAGTTTAATAATGCTTTTTATTTACTCCTGTATATTTAATAATATTTCAATGCCTAGTTAAGATAAAAATCTTTGAGATATTTTGAGTTGTTTTTTTTTTTTAATGTTTTGAGAGAGTAGGAGCATGAGCAGGGGAGGAGCAAAGAGAGAGAGGAGAGAGAGAGAGAGAGAGAGAGAGACAGAGCACAAGCAGGGGAGGGGTAGAGAGGGATGGAGACACAGAATCTGAAGCAGGCTTCATGCTCTGAGCTGTCAGCACAGAGCCCGACTTGGGGCTCGAACCCATGAACTGTGAGATTATGACCTGAGCTGAAGTCGGATGCTTAACCGACTGAGTCACCCAGGCTTCCTGAGTTGTTTGTTTGTTTGTTTGTTTGTTTGTTTGTTTTTTCCATACTGCATCTTCCAAACCTGGTGTGTATTTTACACTTATATCTTCATTTGGTCTGGCCGTGTTGCCATTACTCAATAGCCACATGTGGCTAGTGGCTGTTGTACCAAACAGCACAGTGTATGTAGGTATTACGAAGTTCTACTTTAATTTTTGTTTATTAAATGTAACAGAGAAAACTTCTTGTCTTTTGCATCACTTTATAATTCCAACCTTAAACCTTTGTGTTTTAGTTATGGTAATTATTTTGGCAGAGCAGTTATAGTAATTTTTATTAAGTGGTGATAATGTTGTCATGCTACACAGTTGCTTTGGGGCCAGAACCCATTCTTTGACTACATGGTTTTCTGAAGTGGATTGGAACAGACTAATGGGGGAAGGTGGAAGTACTTTTTTTTTTTTTTTTTAAGTTTAGTTTTTGAGAAAGAGTGCGCACAAGTGGGGCAGGGGCAGAGAGAGAGGGAGAGAGGGAATCCCAAGCAGGCTCCACATTGTCAGTGCAGAGCCTGACGTGGGGCTCAAACCCACAAACCTTGAGACCATGACTTGAGCAGAAACCAGAGTCAGACACTTAACTGACTGAGCCACCCAGCTGCCCCAAAAAGTGGAGGTACTTTTAGAAGGAACACCTCTGCTCTAGGACCCTCATGTTGTCTGGATGGGCATTATGGCAAATGAACAGGGAGCTTTTTATTTTAATGCATACAAAAACTCCTTTTGAAGAGGGGGGTAACTTATTTGTCTGTTATATTAATAAAATGGTGTCATTACTGCTTATCTATGGTAGACAGATGTTTGGAAAATAATTATAGGTGAATTAAATGGTTGAGTTTAGACTTTTGCTCTGGGGAGAAGGGAAAATCTATATAGAGCAAAAGTGGAATAAACAAAGATGGTCAGATGAAGGTGAGTTACCTAGGAAAAGATAAGGATGAGCCAAGGGGGATGTGGAGATCTGGGTTAGGCGACTAGTGGGGATGCAGCTTGCAGCTGGGAGAAGGTTCCTGGAATTCATTGGGACCCTGGCATTTTTGGATGAGGAACAATTAAGACTATTGTCTCTGCAAAGATCGGTAGTGCTTAAGGCACACATTTTAAGTAGATGGGTATTAGAAAAAAAAATAACATTTTGGGTACCACCAGTTCTAGGAACTGTTTGGAGAGCTGGGCCTGGAAGGGAAAGAGGTCTGCAGTCTGGCAAAAGAAGTTCAAAGTCGAGGAAATATTCAGATCTGATACCTGTTAAGCGGGCAGAGGATTTACTGCCCAAAGAGCTTCAGGGATAAGAACCTGAGTTTTGAAGTCAGACTGCCTAGATTCAGAGGTTGCCTTTGCCACTCACTGGCTGTTATGTTAGGTGAGTTATTTAGCCATTTGCTACCTCAGTTTTCCCATCTAAAAACAGGGTTGTTAATAGTATCTATTTCAGGGTTTTTATGAAAAGTAAAAGAAAACTGAGAATAGTAGTTGGTATATTGTAATGCTCAGGAAATGTTAACTCTTGTGCTTATTGTTTTTATTGGCAAGGCTGAGCTGTTTACTTAAATGTGTAGATATTAGAAACATAGATTTATTTCAGAACCTGTAACACAAATGAGAGCTGCTAATCCTAAGAGGAGCAGATTTGAGGAGTAAGGGCTGTGGACCTTTGAGTTTGGGGAGTGCGAAATTGAGAGTCTCCCATGGGTTTCCCCATGGGGTGCTTTGTCTTTCATTCATCTTTTTATGTGTGTCCGAGTACTTCCTTTTCTAATGGCATCAGATGCTTCTGCGGTCGGTAGCAACTTCATTATCTTTTTATAGGGCAGTGGAAATGCTTGTAATGGCAAAATTTATTGGTACCAGACTGCTTTGTAGCTATGCTTCTTGGCATAACCCAATCATTTGTGCTTAAGGTTTAGAAACCAGTACATTGTGTTCTAGCATAGTAAAGAACTGACTGGTGAGTGTTCTTTTAT